ACCCCACACAGAGCCACATCCATGACACACACATGCACTCGCATACACATGCACACACACAAACACACACATACACACTACAGGGACAGTGCGAAAGTGTGGCTCGGGAGAGTTAGTTTTACTGCCCTACTTAATTCCCATCTATTCATCGACATAGACATTTTCTCAGTCGCATGCAAATGCAGCTTTAAGCCACCCTCAAACCAATCACACTGCCATCCCCAAGACATTCCTTTATGGAAATTTTGGTGTCTCCATTGTGCTCTTGTTTTGCCAGCAGGAGGGTGTCAAACGTTTTCAACTCTTATTTAGTTGTGTCTACCAAGGAGAAGAAAGCATGGTTTCCTGCCTGTTTAATGAAGCTAGCTCGCACCATCACTCTGGTGGACAAGAGTGACCTTCACCGGGCATTGATAATTGCCAGCTACCAAGTCTCACGTGATACATTCCATTCCCCTTCTCTACCATAATCTATTTTCCTTAACGAAAAATACACTCTACTAATAAAACATGCAAGCATTTTGCTGTATACACTGTGGGAACCCTACTCCATTTTGCATGTGAATATATTCAGATTAATCACTCCTGAAAATGTCATTTTCACCCGGAACAATTTCCACTCTCAATATTTTCTTCTCCGGAAATTTTCATAAACTCGAAGTGGCACTTTTCAAATGGTTTGCTATTCACATCTAAAGCTTTCCACAGCACTAACCTACTTGGATCCTGTAGCTGAGCAACTGTGGGGTAACGTTGAAAACTTTCTCACTGCTTAGTGGTGCCTAGGAACTGATTTTGTTTTTTCTCTACAGACACAGCCAACTCAGAGATAATCCTCCAGCTGTCGTTTGGGTGAACGGGGTTACGCGTTCTCTCCCAGAACGCCCCTGAGCTCATCTGGGCAATCATGCTCTCTCCAGCTGTCTTTGAGAATCTTGAAGTTCCAGGAAGAATAGAAAGAGATTGTCAGACAAATGGGTGGTCGGGACCACCGAGAGTCATGACGGCAGCAGAGATGTCACCACCATGGCACCCACGCGAGACAAGGCACCAGGACCTTCCCATGACCTCCAGGAGACGGTGACTCCAAGGGTCAGGGTTAAGGTCCTTCTTTCTTCTCCCAATCTGATTTTTTAATAATTCCTAATCAGACAACTCTTTTAACAGGGCTCAGGCTGCCAACCTTCACCTGTTTATCGATCCAGTTTCAAAATGTGTGATGTGAATCCCCCAAACAAGAATCGGAGCCACTGTATAGAGACGAGGAATAACGACGTCAAAGGTAAGCAGAGATGTCTGAGTCTCCTCCACTCTGTGTCTGAAGCTCAGTGAAGTATCTAACTCTTCCAAAGGTTCCAATATCTAAATGAAATCATTTTTGCCATCGCCTCTCTGATGTTGACATGTCACTGGAACCTTCCTGTGTCTCAGAACAGTCTCATTTCCAAAGAGGTTAAGGTCTTTTCCCTCTCAAGTTCTTGGAGACAAGGGCAGCACCTGGACAGGAGTCCACAGGCACCTTACGTGTGTCAACAACTCTGCTGCTTACTAGCTAGAGCCCACTGCCTCCTCCCCATCCCACCTTCTGCCTCAGCTCAACCCTCGTTTAATCTAGTCTCTGGGCTATTGCAGTGGCTCTTGTGGGGTCTCTGTGCTTCCAACACAGTAATTCTCAGGCAGTTGTTTTGTTCCCAAGGGCATCTGGCAATACCTGGAGACATTTTCGGTTGTCCAGACTGGTTGGGTACTACTTGATAGAAGCCAGGGATGCTGCTAAACGTCCTACAAAGCACAAGCCAGCCCCTGACAAAGAATTATCCAGCTCAACGGTCAATAGTGCTGAGCTTGAAAAACTGCTCTAGCCATACCCATCTCTAATCTGTCCTCTGCCCACACACAAGAGATACAAAACACAATTCCAATCAGGTCCATGCTTGAAATCCTCCAGTGCCTTCCAACTGCCCTTGGGTTAAAGTCTAAACTCTCCAGCAATTTGGGTGAGGCCCATCACAATCTGGTCCTTCCCTAACTTTCTGCCTCACCTTTCATTCTTCCCGACCCCTCTTCCCTGAAAGCCACACAAGCATCCAATGCAAGTTGACTAGACCACCCACAACTCCCTCTGCCTGTCAGTCTCATCCATTCATTCCTGTGCCCCCAACTTTATGCCATGTACTCTGATAAGACTGAAAGGGAACAAGAGGCTCTCCAGGCAGCCTGAGGCACTAGTATCTCGTGAGGCACACAGAAAAGTGAGCATGCAACCCAATCAGCAGAAGTAGAACCTACACTTCACCTCTGTGATCCCATTGCTGTCTCCCCAACAGGCTGTGAGTCTCCAGGGAAAAGAGAGTATCTTCATCTTCATAGGGCCACAGCAACTTTCACAGCTAAGTATGGTCTACTTAGTTGTACACCACATCTTTGCCAGAGCTGTTGTATTAAGGAAGGAGTGAAATTCTAATTTCTTCAATTTGGCTCTTGATCAGACACAAAAAATTGCAATATCAAAATACAAGGGTGAAACTAAATTCATCACACTGCATCTGCCCATCCACAAAAGTGGAGACATCTTTGTTGAAAGCTGTATTCTCTACCTCTCTTCTCTTCATATATCAGAGACATATAGAGCTATTAAATAACCTATTTATCCCTATAGAATGTTTAAATCCCATTACCTGATACTCAAAGACAAGACACATGAAGCAGAATTTGACTCTAAAATAGTAACTGAGATATAAGGGTATCAAGAACGTAGCTATGTTGACTGTGGGAATCATAACTTTGAATTTCACGGTACCTAAGAAGATTTTGCTCTCTTTTCTAGACTGGGAAGTTCTTTCTATATACTGGGCATTTAACAATACTGTCGTTTCTACTTCTCTTCCTTTTAAATTGATTCTATATCCTGCAAGTTGCTATGATTTGCCTGAGTTTCAAAACCCACAAAGATGTTCCATAAGGGGACAGTTCTCCTAGAAAAGAGGATTTTATTAGATAGTTATAGAGCTATTTTGGACATTTAAACAGAGAAACCCATCAGTTTGACTTTACAGCTGGTGAAAGAATTAAAGATTCATATTTTAAATAACTGGAAAAATTGAAAATGTAGCTCATGGATTCCTATCATATATTATGGAAATTTAAATTTTTATTGCAGTTAATTATAATGCATAAGTCTCTTGTCCACACAGTTGTCATGTTAATGACAAGGCTAGTATTTAGAAATGGAACCTCATTATAGAAAATGGAGCAAAACAGAAGTTTCTATTAATTGAATGGAATGAAGGGTCCGGGGAAAGCTTGCCCAGGCTCCCCTTCACATCTAGGGTGCTCACAAGGCATCAGTGGCCTGGCTTCCATATTCCCCATGGTAACGGGTCTTCCGAGCTTTATTCCCATCTAGGCTTCCATCTCTGCAGACAAGGCAAAGTCACAATCCTAAGCTTGGGTTATCTATTTTCCCCTCCTCTTCTCCATTAGCCATATCCTCCTTCATTCAAACTTGGGTTAATCCTGACCTCCAGAAAAAATGATTTCCACTCAAACCAACTTCCAGACATATGGGAGGAATCCCAGAAAATCACTAGTGATCAGAAACAAAAGCTGCTTTCATTGCACTTTGAGGAACATACAAAAACGGAGAAGGTGCTGAAACATGTAGACAAGCAACATGGACCCACGGACCCCTGGGCTAAGAAATTTAATTTAGCATGGAGCTTACGGAGTTGGTTGTTGAGACAGAGCATGAAGGCGATTATCACAAGATCGTTCTGGTTATCATCGTCCTGTGGCTGAGCTGGGGATAAAGGTGTCTCCTGAGACCCCATCCTTCGTATCTTGCACATTTCCCTTCCACCCATGAAATTTATGGCATCCCATTGCCCAGTCCTCCTTCCAACCATTCAAGTTTCCTTTCAGGAAACCCCTTATGCTTCAGTGTGAATCAGCTGCTGTGACCTCTCCCAAGGATATGTGCATCCTAAGCCATATCTTATTATGGGCTGAAGAGTTTTCCCCTGTGGAAGGGATTCTTGACTTAAAGCTGCAGGTAAAGGTGATCTCTCGGGGACACAGTGACCCGCCTTCTTGAAACTGCCCAGTACCCAGATTTTAAATGATGAAATTAAAATCACATAAATTTAAGGAAAGCATGTTATGTTTGGGTTCAAGGTTCCAATAATTGTATTTTATGTGAATTTTTAAAAATTTACTTTGAAATTAATGAGAGTGGTATTTGCCTCACCAGGTATATGCGGTAAGCAGTGTGGTAAGATTCTTCCCTGAAGGAAAGCCCTGAACAGCAAAAAAAGAAGCCTAGAAGCACACATGTTATAGCCTTTACAAATATAACAACTTTGGGGCTGAAATGGACCGTATATATTTTAGCTTGTATCAAAACTGTCAGACAAGGCCCTGTGGAAAAGGGAATTCTTATTAAGGGACACAGAAATGGTGAGGCAGAAAGGGGATGACCAGTGTAGAGATGTTTGTGGAGAATTCGTTACAACCACTAATTTAATTGTGATTATAGTCAAACACATCACCATCTAATAGAATTTTCTGTAATGATGGGAATGTTCTTGGTCTGAGCTGTCCAAGATGGTAGCCATTAGCCACATGTGACTGTTGAGCATTGGAAATCTAGCTAATGTGGCTGAGGAGCTGAATTTTTAATTTTAATTAACTTAAAATTAATTTTAAATAGCTACACATGGCTAATGGCTACCATATTGTATAGTACGGGTCTAACACCACTACTGCTTTAACTTGTAATTTTTGGAACGCTTTGTACCAGTGAACTCTCTCCAGGAGAAACTGATAGAACTCTCAATATAATGCAGTCTTCCAGCTCTGAAGAGTTTAATTACTAAAAACACAGCTTATGACTCACTCTGACCCCTACCCCAACCCATTACCCAAGGTACCCAGGGTTGGTGCCTCCCTCATTCCCCCAGGGTAAGCCTGCAATGCCAGGCTCTGGAAGGAAGTGTACTTACCCTCACCCAGTGGAAGTTCCTCTTCCTGCTCGCTGGGGGACGGCCGCAGGGGCTGCAGGGGCTCCATGTTAATGATGAGTTGTTTGTTCAAGGAGTGGGAACTGCGGCTCTGAGTAATGTTGGTTCTGAAAACAGACACAAGCCGGAGGGAACTGGTTTCAACTGGGAACACCGGCCCTTCCATCTCAGTTGGCTACCCGAGCCGGGAACTGCCCATAGACTCACACAGTGCATTAGGCCAGCGGTAAAGATGACACAGCACTTAAGACACACAGCCCTTGTTATCCTTAAGGTCTTGATACGTGGTATAATGTCCATGTGTTCTAATGCAACACAGTGAAAGAAAACGTATTTCTCCACATATCGTCAGACTTGGACATGCTATGTGACAAGACAAGGCATTGAGAAAAGACATGGGCAACAAAGATACACAAGAGGCAGGTATCACTGAACTACATATGCAGAAAAGTGAATGAAGGGCATGGCTCAAAGTAATTTAACAACCACCAAACAAACACAAAAACAAAAAAACTCTGCCAGGCAGATGCCACAGGCTTTCCATAGCCATGAGTTGGATGTCCAACATTTAATATCGATGCTTAATATTCCCATTCAAATTCACACCCCACTCATGAACCAAACACAGAACTCAGCTCCACTTTCTCCTTCTGAAAGGAGCACACGTATGTCAGTAGCTCAATGGGCAGTAGATGGCAAGGAAAGGTGTCTCGTCAAGCCTACTGGCTGATAGCCAGGAAGCCCATTTACACTGTCTGCCCTGACAGACAGGGACGTGGGGTACCTCTGGTGGGTGTTTCAGCACCCTTCCCATCCCCATGTCTCCTGTCAAAACCCAAACCAACCCATCCTTCAAAGATGATGTCAAATGTCTCCTTCTCTTGAAGCCCTCCTGGATTGCCTTCACAACGAACTCCCTCTCCCCCTTCCTTCTCACACTACTGTCCCTTCTTTCACAACCTGTCACATTTGTCACCTCTGTCGCCCTGTAATTATTGGGGTACTAATCAGCCCTACCTTGATAAAGCAACTTAAGGGCAGAGACTGACCTATCCATTCTCATGTGCCTTATAGCACCTCCCTTGGCATCTTGTTAAGGGGTGTTCAGTTTGAAACTGAAGTAAACTTGGCATTAAGTTGCCATTTCAGACTGTCACAGGTGTTCTCCAGGCCAGTTGATGGGACCGCCTTACAGCCCAGGCATTTCTGTTGGGCATAGGAGCTGGACAGGGAAGAAGCTGTTAGCATCTAGAGTTAAAAGCTGCCCCCCCCCACCAGCTGCCACTGACTGGAAAGGAAATTTATAAGGACTTGCTTAACCATGGAGTTCTTTTCTTCATTATTTCATTCTACAACCATTTATTTTGCAGCTGGTATGTATGTATTGTTCTGGGAAATCATGGTCCTCACCTTAAATAACTTACTCTCTAGAACCATGACTTTCAAACTTTTTTGATCAAGACTCACATTAGAAACTACATTTGGTATCATATCTCTGTACACACACACACACACACCCGCAAGTGCACACACAGCTAAAGAGAATGTTTCATGCAACAACGGTAACTCTTGCTATGTGTGAGCCGCTATGTTTTACTTTCCATTCTATTTAATTTCATTTAAAGTGCTGGTCTTGACCACTATTTTCACTTCATGACTCATTAATGTGCTACAGCCACAGCCGGAAAAGCACACATCTCATGGAAGAGACTGACTGACGGCCGAGGTCCCAGGAGAGCACCAGAGAGGGGCATGTGATCCTGCTGTGAGTGAGGGGAGAGCCAGGAAAGACCTCCCAGGGAAGGTGATGTCAGCGGTAAGTCCTGGCAGGGGTGGTGGGTTTACAGGGAAAGAAGTGGAGGTGGGGATTCCTTGCAGGGGGAAGAAAGGAAGGAAGGAATAACAAGGGGGGATTAAAATTCACCATGAGCAATGACTTCTTTTATTGTGAAGGTTTCTCATTTGTCTGAGCTTTTCATGGGATTTCCATTAGCCCTGTGGCCTTCATGACTGTGATCCTAGTTCTGCAAAGCACATGTTGCCATGTCTGTGTGGACTATGTAGTTTTCTGACCTCTGAAAAGCTCATTTTCCATTGTTCCCCTCCCCCAGAAATTACTATGTATATCACAGCAGGGAGGGACCCTTAGCGAGCCTTTATGGAGGCTCTTTTGCTCCCTGTCAGGTGAGGGTCCGTGCTGTGTTCCCCCGCTCTCGGAGTCCAGGCACCAGCCGACTCGGCCAAAATGCCTGACCCGCTTTGCAGCCCACTCACGTGCACTCCTGGCACAGGACAGTTTCTGAGTGAAACTGCCGTTAAGGATTCTACTGAGTAGAAAGGTTTCCTTCGGCAACTGCAGGTATATTCTAAGACTGGCTTCAGTTCTAAGACTGGCTTCAAGAAATGGTGGCATAAAATCGAGCAACAAATACGAGGCTAGTGGAGTTACTGCAACCACTCCTTGGAATGAAAGGAAGCGCTGCTGGCCTGTGAGTAAAAAACTCCATCTGAAGAGACTTCAGTGTGAACGTGTCTGTCAGGTTCTAGCTTCCCATTTTGGGATGAGAGATAATAATAATAATATCACCACCTCACATTTTTATGGTACTTTATAATTTTCATACCCTTTATCTTAATGGCCATAACAAAACCTAGAAGTCGGGGAAAGATATAAGAATCTCATTTTATAGATGAACAAACTGATGATCCGAGAAGTTAAGTGACTTACGCAAGACATAGCAACACAGCCAAGATTAGACCCATTCATGACTCCTAGATGGGTGCTCATTTCAGGTACAAGTGCTGTTTCTGGGTATCCCTTGGTGGTGGCTCTATGCCCAGGAGGCTTAAAGAGCCGACCCTGAACTCTCAGAGCTACAGCCCTCCGCCTCACTGGGCCTTGGAATGGGCAGGTGATTCTCACCAAGTAGCCAGCCAATAGGGTTCCACTTGGGGATCCTGTCATCAGCAAAGTTCAATGAGCTAACACGAGAGCGAGCTTCTTCTCTTTTTGAAAAAAAGAAAAACCCCAAGACAGTGTTCTTAGTCTGTGTGTGTTTCTCTGTGTCACACACATCTCAGCAGGAGTAGGAGTCCATGAACTGGCTATCCTTTGACGTGGAGAATCTCAAGTGAGAGGAGAGATAACTGAAGTCTTACCATCACCATTCTAGACTAGCAGGCCTCTCTGAGCACTGCCAGATAAAGAGAGCTCATTACTGTACTCTCACTTTTGAGCCACATCAAAGAAGTCAAAACAATTCGAAAATATGATAATTGTGTAAGAGAAACATTTCCTACCATGCAACCAGCTACTGGGAAGGAACAAGAAGTTGCTACTGAAAGTGACACACGTCACTGTGGCTCTGACCACAGTGCTGCCTCTTGGGAGGGCGAGGTCCCCAGGGCAGCACCACGGACAGATCTCAAGTCTCAGAAAATTACAGATGTGAAGCTGTCATCTCACACTCCTAGTGCATACATCCATTCAGCAAATATCTACTGACCTCCTACTATAGCCAAGCACTGTGTTAATTGATGGGTAAGATGGAGATAACCAAGATAGGCACAAGCTTCGTCCTCCCAGAGCTTACTCTGTATTATTACTTTAAACAAATTCTTCCTTGTAATGTCAGAGATTTGAGAGATACTGCCAAAGAACTGAGGACCAGAGAGGCATCCAGAGGATGTGAACTCAATAGGCTTTCACAAACAGGTAAAACCGGGTAGAGGAAGAGCAAGAAAGAACATGTGAACCGGTGTCGAATGGGCCTATAGAGCCTTGTTTGCAGTAATATCCTGGGAGATTTTAGAAAACTCCAGAAAAGAAAAACTATAAATTGATGGATGCTTCATTTCCCATCCACTCTGGTGGTTCAGTCCACTCCAGGAAAAAGCTTTTCACTAGGGCCAATCTGCTCCCTTCACCCCCTCCCCCAGCAGTTATCTAGAGCCTGGCTATTCAAGGTGCAAGCCATGAACTAGCCACGTGGCCATCATCTGGGAGAGCATTAGAAATGCCAGATTCATGAATCAGAATCTGATTTTAACAGGATCCCCAGGTGATCCCTGTTCAAGCTACAGTTTGAGAAGCCTTGACCTAGGAAGCCTTAATTCCCATAAATTGTGCAAACATAAATTTAAAAGAGAAGTATTTTAAAAAATTCTTCTCTGATCTCATTAACCATCATCCATCGATGGTGACTATGGGCTTTTGGAAAGCTCTGCATATTTGGAATATGTCTCTCTGAAAGCATATTGGGTTTTTTTTGCGGTACACGGGCCTCTCACTGTAATGGCCTCTCCCGTTGCGGAGCACAGGCTCCAGACACACAGGCCCAGTGGCCATGGCTCACGGGCCCAGCCGCTCCGCGGCATGTGGGATCTTCCCGGACCAGGGCACGAACCCGTGTCCCCTGCATCGACAGGCGGACTCTCAACTACTGCGCCACCAGGGAAGCCCCCTGAAAGTATATTGTTAAAAACATTTTCCTACTTTGTGTTTGTGCCATTAAGGGGACTCCCCAGAATCGAGTATTTCTTTTTATTTTAAGATCAAACACTCAAGCTTCAAGCAGGAAGAATAAAACCAAGCTGAGCCCCTGGGGTAGGTCTGCCCCCCAGCTTCTAGGAGAATGCAGAGGCTTTCAGGGTGGCAGATGCAACACAGAAAAGAGGATATAGGACTCAGGAGCAGGACACTGCAGTTCTAGGCTTAGTTCTGCCACCAAAATATTTATGACCTCAGATAAATCATTTAACTTCTCTGAGACTCAACTTCCCTTATCTGTAAAATAGAATCATTAAACTGAGTCATCCCTGAGGTCATTCTAGACCAAAGATTCTGGAAACATTTAAATGATATGTTCAATTATTTCTTCTTTTTTGTTTCTGCTGCACTGAGTAACCACAATCTGAGGCAGAGGAGGGGTTATAAAAAGACTATTAAAAAATAACTATTGTCATCAACAGGTAGTAAGCTCTAAGACTTCCACAGGTATTGCACCAAGGTGTCCCAGCCAAGGCGCTCCAAATCCCCTTGCCCACAGTTTTCTCCTGCTTCTCAAAGCAGGAGACACTGCTTTGCAGACTTGTACGTGACAGCTTTCCACTGGGGCACCCAAAGCCAGGGATGAATTATTCTGTGTACACATCTGCACAAGATTCCATGCTGACTGAAGTCCTGCTCCCCTGTGTGGGAGCCCACGCTGGCCTGCTCCACTGTCTGGATGCCCACACTGGCTGGCTTAGCTGCACTTCTGAGAGACCAAGGCCTCCTCCTGCCTGATAGCCCCAAGGACAAGGTGAGAGGTACCCTGTTCACTGGGTCACCTTGGAGATAGAGGAGACTGGGCATATCTGAGCATAGGAAGACTCCAAGTTCAAAGATGGGGAAGGAGGGACCGGTGCCCACCACTGTGTGGGAACTTCCTAAAGAATATATCTTATGATGATCTTGCCTTCAGAAGGGGGAACATCAGGATAAGAATGTTCTGCTTTAGATATTTAGCATGTTTGAAGTTTAAGATGTACAATGATTTGTGTAAACTGTGGTGGTAAGAAGTACAATATGATCAAGAGAATATTTCATTCCTAAGAATTACATACATTGCCATGTTAATGTAGAAGCGTACCCTTGACCCACTAATGACTAAGTTCGTCATTCCTCTAAGTGGCTTTTGGGACTAAAGGGTCCAAGGAGAGATGAGTACCCCACCCCCTCGTGTGACATAGCCTAGAAGGAGTTGGGCCAATGGGAACTGGCCACGTCTGATGAACAGAGGCCGGAAGAGAGAGCAGTTCTAAGAGGACATGACAATGGACTCAGCCAGGAGATAACCCAGCCACCCGTGCCTCACACACTTCCCGCCTGTTCCCGTGACCCTGCAGGCTGAATCAGGGCAGTGACTCCACACAGAGCAAGTAACTCAGAATGGAGCCCAGCCAAATCTGTCTGAGTGAGATATGGGGGATGGTAAGAGTGCCATGCCAGGAATCAGGGTCTGATAATGGCATAGGGCCAGGCAGCTGGTGTCCTTACTCTCCTTCTTGTTAGAGCAGATTTGGCGAAGCCAGCCTTTACATCCTGTCCACCCCAGAAATCTCCCGGCACCCTGGGGACCACCCCACTCACCTGTGCACCTCTGGAGGCTCCCTCTGGATTTTGGAGCTTGCCTCCACCACCTCTTTGGCAACTTTGCCACTGCAAAAGACAGAAACACAGTGTCTGTGCACAGACACTCAGAGTGGAAGGGGAGGGGTGCGCACACTTTTTTTTTTTTTTTTTTTACTTCACAGTGGTCTGACCCAGCTCTAGGAATCCGTGCCTTCTCCTCCTCCACGAGGGAACATTACTATAGAGTTTAAGGGGTCCTGTGGGCATAAGAAATGAGTGGAGTGGAAAGGGAGGACCCAAACGGGTACAGGCCAAAGTGCACTGATTTATAAGTATCATATTCCAACGCAAATGGCTGCCCCAACCCAGCCCCATCATCGAAATGGAAGCATGGGTACCCACCTATATCGAAATCTGCTTCCTTTAAAAAATATCTTGCTGCTTGACACAGTCTTGATCTGACTGGATTTTGCATACCTGTAAGAGAAAGCAGAGGAGAGGTGGCAGTGACACTGTAAAGTCCAAGCAGAACATGCCATAGAGCGTGGTAATTGGATATTTTGACCACCAAGAAAGAAATACATTTTACTGTATGACTCAGCGCGCGTGCGTACACACACACACACGCCTGAAAGAAAAGTTACTTTCACCATGTGTATTGCAATCTGATTTTTTCTATGCGATCTTTTCTCCTTCTTTTATATGCTGCTGATGACCCACACATTTGGTCTCGTAATCTATTACTGTGTCACGACCTGCAAAAAGGACCAGGTAATATTGATGGTCAGAGGAATTCTTTGCCAGTTTCTGCTTGAGCGATACGGAGAGGGTGGGCTGGGTCACAGGGCACCGTTAAATTCCTTGCTGCACGGACCTTCTTGCCTGTACCTGTACCAACTGCAGCAGAAAACAGCTTCCTGGTGACGCAGGCCACTCACCGTGTCACACAGAACCCACCTATTGTGTATTTTCTAGGAGATGGCACCAGGGGCCCATGTCACCATGGAAACGGTCACTGGCTTCTGAGTATTAAGAAGGGTTAGGGGCTTCCCTGGTGGCGCAGTGGTTGCGAGTCCGCCTGCCGATGCAGGCGACACGGGTTCGTGCCCTGGTCCGGGAAGATCCCACATGCCGCGGAGCGGCTGGGCCCGTGAGCCATGGCCTCTCC